TAGCAATTTAAAAGTCTCTTGGAACTGGAATTAGTCCTTAATGCTCAGAGTTTGTCCAGCCTCCAGAGCAGTAGCAGGTGCCTGTGTTAAGGTACTATTGTGAATCAAATAGGTACACTTTGTATTTAGAAATGGTGTGTGTAAAATGAGGGGCTGGGTGCACAGCAGCACTCGATGGTGCAGCCAAGCTGCCTCCTCTGGGACCTGGCACTGGCAGAACAGGATCCCCAAGGACCTCTCACCTTGCAGGAAGAGCCGAGTCCTTGGTGCTTCTGTTGTGTGGGCTATGACACGTTGTGCTCTCCTGAGCTGTGAGCGTGCATCACTTCCCACGAGCACTTTCTCTGCAGCCATACTGGAATCCCTCAGGCTTTAACCTTTTGGGGTGATTCTGAGTCACCTTGTGTTGGCAGGTTCCAGTGGGAGCTGTTCCCAGGGTCACGGAGCAGGGGAGGTGTGTAGGGTCAGCGGTTGGGTTTCATTGCCCTACACTCTTCAGCCTCAGCTGGCTCAAAGTACCTCCCTGAACTCCTGAGCTCACCTTTCTCTGGGGCATCCCAGCAGCTGGGCTTTCCTTTCTTAGGGTGCATAGGACAGCCAGTGTGTTTGAGAACAGATGACTAAGGGAAATCATTCCCTTCGAGATATAATTTTTGTGTGTTCAATTACTGTAAAGCAGTCATTCAAGGAAGTAACTGGAGCTGTTGTGTGTGAAATAGATCTATAAATTTATCAGCTTTAAGCATGTAATTTGCATGGCAATCTACCTGAAGCTTAGTACTGCTTGGAGTGAAGGTTATTTCCTTGGCCCATTTGTGCTGATTCATGCTATTCTAGCTGCTGTTTTCTTTTCCTCTCAAAATGTCATAAAGATTACCTGGAAGGTTTTAGCTGTTCAGAAGACCTGTCTATCAGCCCGTCCAAGCACTTGTTACCAGTCACATTTCACATCTGCTGTGAGTAATCAGTGATCCATCTCATCTATTGGAAGCAATTCCAGTTTATGATTTGCTGGTTTCCCTGTAGCAGCTCTGGTTCCAGGGAGATGAGTTGCTGAACACATTTTTAACGAAGGCCCATACTCTGCCAAAGCCTTAGGCTGGGATTCCTGAGGGGAGAGCAGAAATGCAATATCCTGCTGTTTGAAGCCTTGGCTTCTGGCCATGCTTTGGGGGTGTTAAAAAAAACTCCAGGAGCATTAACTGGTACCAGTTGGGCCATTATTGGGCTGAGGGTGGATCATGGCCTGAGAGTGGATGCTGAGCTGTCTTTGCAATTCCAGATTTCAGGTCTCAAGTGCTGTTACAGCCATCCTTAGTCCTGTGGCCATGGATGAAAGATGAGTCTGAAACCTCTCAGGGTATGAGCTGGGGTATGGCCTCGAGCCCCTTGAGTACAGGTGTCTGCTCTGGTGGAGCCATGCAGGTGCTCTGTGGGCTCTGATTTCTCCTTTGGTGCTCTCCAGGGTGGCCGCCCTGAGTGCCCTCTCAGGTGCTGTTCCCCACCAGGCTCTCTTTGTCCATGTTCCCATTTTGGCTCCAATTCTCTGTTACTGGCGAGCTGAGCAGTGTGGGACAGCTGAGGATGGCAGAGTAATTACTGCTGTCTCTTAGGGAAAATGTAATTGGAGTGATCATACACTGCCTGCAGATCCTCGTGGGAGCCCCACCCCAGAGGCTGATGTCAGACATGGCTTTCTGCTGCAGTCTGGGAGTTTGTGTTCAGCCCTCCAGTAAGCAGGTTTTGTTTTGCAATGCTGGATGCTCCAGTAACAGCTAGTAAAGAAATAAATCTTACCTGTCTGAGGATCAGGCTTTGCATTTAAATGCTTTTTTAAATGCCAAGTTAAATCAGTGAAACATCTTGCTGTAGCTTTGTCCTATTCAAACTCCAGAGAGCTGAAGCAGTTCATTTGAGTTACTTTTTGTACTATTTGAGTTTGCTTTATGATTCTTGCTCAAAATACTGCTCTTGTTGTGTTCTGGAGGAACAGTGCGTGGCCAGGTTTGAGCAGCTGTTGAGCTTGGCACTGCCCCAGTGTGTGAGGTAGTGCAGAATGTGGTGCCAAGGACGGGAACATGCAGGGTGTGGGCTGTGCACAGGCTGCGGTGGTCAGCAGGTGTGTCATGGTGGGCCTTGTAGGTCTTTATATCCATAATAAACACAAAATAACAGCTCTAGCGGCATTTTAATCCTTTTACTATCCATGTCCCTTGTCCTAGATGGATTCCTGAACTTTCAGGGCACTTTGAGTGATGACCCAATTTGCAAGAAGTCACCCCAGGTTCTTGCAGCAGTGTCATGTGCAGTGACTCTCCAGAGAAGAATTTAGAATAAGATTGCTTTGGGTTGTTGTTTACTGCCTTGAAACAAATACAGTAAGTGGAGTTTTTACAAGGTTTAATTTATTCCCAATTATCTGGTTCCTGCCCTGAGGCAGAAGTAGACACAAAACCTGAGTTACTGAAGCACTGTGGAATTTACCCTTTTAGTAAATAAAGTGGATCAGGTATACTTAAAGCTGTGCTTAATACTGTTTTGATCTCCTTTATCTCCCCATGTATCTATCCATCCTGCTGTTGGATCAGCAGGATTTTCCAGGCTGGAAGGCAGAACTGGGAGCTGGGCGTTGCTCCCCACCCACCCAGGCAGCGTGAGCTGATGCTTCCTCTGGACTGAAGTGGTTAATGTAAGGTTTTCTGATCTGAAACCGGTCTGAAACAGTGTGAAAGCCCCTGTTGTCAAGTCAGGAACTAGAAAATGAGGGCTGTGCAGCCAAGAACCTGCTTTTTAAAGTGTTCTCTAAGTATTTGATCAAACTGTATTTAACAACCTTGTTGTTCCACCTCAGGCCCTCCATGAACTGTTTCCACAGTCCTCAGAATAGTGACCAGAAGCAGTAGTGCCCCCTCTCTTCTTGCCATGTTTGTTCCCCTTGAGTTTCTGCTGGGTGCTTCCTGCATCCAGGCTCTGCTGGGTGTGTGCTCCCCTCTCTGACCTGCTCTCTCGGGGTTAGTTGGCATCTCTGCTGCTCCATGCTTCCTCCCATCTCCCCTTTCACATCGTGATCCCTCGCCACCTTCCTCTGAACTTCTGACACGGCTCTGTCCTCCCAGCCAGCCCTTTTCTTCCTGACCAGGTCTCGAGAAACTTAACTCTAAAGCAATTTGTTGGCCTGTCAGGGGAGACCTGCTTTGCCCCGGGTCCCACAGCAGCTCTCATCTCTCCCCCAGCTGCGGGAGCTTTTCCGCAGGCTCCCGGCCAGCCCCGGGCACAATTCCATTGCCTCCTGCAGCATGCTAATGGTGTGCCCGCAGCACAGAGGCTTGTGCTGCCTGCAGGGTAACACTTAATGAGATCTCCTCTCCTAACGAGGTTTTCCAGGGCAGTTTAGTTCTCTGAGGAGGGAAAGTGACTACAATTAATTTAACCTTACCCCAGGTCACTTGGCGGGCTCTGTTCGGTGAGCATCGCAGGCTGCTGCTGGTGGCATTGAAGGAATTGCCATGCAGGCACACATCTGCAATGGAGAACAAAAGCAGCAGTTTTTGACATCTCATCTACCCTTTCGCATGACTAATTACTTCATTAATCATTAAGCAGTTAATCAGTAAAATTTAATAGACTAACAGCTGTGTGCCAGCGATATGAGCTTGTTTCAGTTGTTGTAGAGTGAGAGCCAGTCAAAGATCTGGTGGCATTTTGTGTTCTAGGGACTGTGTGTGGGAGGAACTTGTTCCCCCCAGCAGTTCCCACAAGAGGTGTTAGCAGGACGCAAAGAATTAAAGCACAGAAAAGAGGAGAATATCACAGTGAAGTATTCAGAGGCCTGAATTGGAGCTTGAAGTGTATTTCCTAACTCCAAGGCTATTTAGGAAAACGGGATCTGTCACAGGAGTCTCAGGTTCTACACCTGTGTTAGTGACCAGCTGGATAATTCCATCAGGGAGAAGCCTCCAGCAGCTCGAGTGGGTCTTGGGAGAAGTTGTGTGGGTTCCTGTGCACTCAGCCTGGTGGATTTGTTGTATTTTGTGGGCTGTCAGTCAGTGCTGGGTGGGCCCTGCAGCGCTGTGGCTCGGGAGCATGGCCTGCCTTGGGCTCCCTGCCAGCAGCCTGCCACTCGAGTAGCACAGTCTGTGCTCATGGAATATTTATCTCACTCTTATAGCACATACTGGGGAGGGAGACGATTCAGCTGTGCAAAACCAGAAGCTGAAGGGATGTCAGCAGGTTCGGTGCCAGCCCTGCTGGTTGCTGAGTTTGTTAGCAAAGGCAGTGCCATGGTGGTGAGGCAGGTCAGGGGGCAAGCTGGGAACTGATGTGTGGCTCAGGATTAGGATCACAGCTAGCGATGGCTGGAGATGTCCACTCGAGGCACAGCTTAAGGGCACATGGGCACGGCCACAGCTCAGCTCATCCTCCTCTGATACAGCTCAGGCCTGGGCCAAAATGCCTCCCCTGGTGTCCTTGGGTGTCTGGACAGCGAGATGTGGGATCTTGCAGTGGCAAACTCTTATGTTCAGCCGTGGGAAGAGAGAGGAAGTGAGGCTGGCTTGGGTGAGGCTGGGCAGGCAGGCATGGAGGATCAGCTGTGTGACTGCACTCCGTGCCCTGTTCTGTGTCCCACTGTGGCCAAGCAGGGCTCCAGCTCCTGTGGCTCCTCAGGGGATGATGTAATGGCCCCTGGGAGACGTGTTTGTGTGCTCCCCAGTTCCTACACCCTGTGTTGGGAGCACACAGTGTTCCTGGGCTGCAGAGTGTAATTACACATAGCAATGTGTAATGAAGAACAGTAATGAAGGGCTGCCTGGGACAAGAGCTGCCCCCTCATCCTGCTCAGAGCTGGAAAACCCAGCCTGTGCCCTGCACTGTTCTGGGGTTTCACATGCGGGGTTTGGTGAGCAGCACCAGCAGAGTAAAACTGGAGATGTGTTTTCCAGCACTTGCTAGGTGAACTCTTGTCCCTAACTTGTCCCCCATGCTGGCAGGGTGCTAGCAGCATGATCTCAGAAAGGGATTCAGAGACCACCTTCGAGGAGGATTCCCAGCCCAACGATGAGGTGGTGCCGTACAGCGACGACGAAACGGAGGACGAGCTGGACAGTCGGCAGCCTAGGGCTGAACTGGGACCCAACCAAACCAGCAGGGACCCGGAGGAGAGCAGAGAGCCTGGCAAAAAAGGTAACAGCACCACGGCCCAAGAGCCTGGCTAAAAAGGTAACAGCACCACGGCCCGAGAGCCTGGCACAAAAGGTAACAGCACCATGGCCTGAGAGCCTGGCAAAAAAGGTAACAGCACCACGGCCTGAGAGCCTGGCAAAAAAGGTAACAGCACCACGGCCCGAGAGCCTGGCACAAAAGGTAACAGGACCACGGCCCGAGAGCCTGGCAAAAAAGGTAACAGCACCATGGCCTGAGATCATTGCACAAAAGGTAACAGCACCATGGCCTGAGATCATTGCAAAAAAGGTAACAGCACCACGGCCTGAGAGCCTGGCAAAAAAGGTAACAGCACCACGGCCTGAGAGCCTGGCACAAAAGGTAACAGCACCATGGCCCTGCTTTGGACAGTGCTCGATGCTGGATGCAGAGGCTGAGCCTCAGGGGCCGATTGGACTTCTGTGTTTATGTGTCAGGCAAGGTTTCGAATGGCTTATCTGACTCTGGAGGAGTAAATTGGTGGCAGTTCAGTTTAACAAATGTCAGAATGAGACTCAGCTTCATTCCAAGCTGCAGCCCAGTTCTGTGCCACTGCTCCTTGCGCAAAGATAATGAGCTGCATGGTGGCCTCCTGTTAATTAAGGCAGGCCCTGGATGTACATGGCCTGTGCTCTGGGACCCTTTCAGACAGACCTTCAGGTACTTGGTTTCCCAGCCCTCTGGAAATGGGCTCCAGCATAAACATTTAGCTGTGCTCAGTGTTTTCCCTGAATTTCTGCTTGTGCAGAGCAGATTTCCCCCTCACTGCTCATTTTATAGCCTCATGAGTTTCCTAAAAGGTAAAAGGTGAGTAGGAGGAGTTCCAAGGAACCGGCAGGTACAGCCTGTGGCTGCTGCCAGCATAAGAACCTCAGTGGGAGGAGCCTTTCTGGCATCCCTGCTCTGAACCTCTACCCAGGAAACATCTGTAGCTCCCCCAAATTCCCTTTTCTCATGCTGCAATGAGAGCATTTTCAATTAACCAAAGCCTCTGTAATTCATACAGATTTTTTCCTGTTTGTGTGGGAACAGTTGATCAGCTCTCATTTCATAACCACCTGTTGTGTGCTGTCATTTTACAAGCATCCGTCACATGTTTAGTTTAAGATTTTTTTATGATGACATCCTTTAAAGTTGATGAATTACCAAAGCAGCTTGCCAAATATTAGGTGTTAGTATCACACTTCAAAGTAATTTTGAGGAGCTTCCTTCCTGCAGGTTTTACCTCTGACCTAATTTGTCAGTTTTCTATCAGTTTTATCAACACTGCAATGTTTTTGGAATGTGTTAAAGAAATGTTTGTGTAGACTTTGTTTTTCTTTATGCCCTGTCATTTTGACAAACTTAGTAACTTTCTAAATTAATGCATGTAATATTAACTCAAAACATGCTTCCTCGAGATAAATATTTCTCTATTATCTTCTGGGCTTATAACCAGAAGGTGCTGGAAATGAAAGTTGTGTAGTCCCAGGAAAAGTCCAGATATGTCAGTGTGGAATTTGCTCTGTGGTGGGTGGGAAAAACAAAACCACCTTTGCAGTTGGATTGGGTTTGAAGTGTTAGTCACAGCCGTGCCCACGCCTCTGCCGCCGGCAGTTTCACCCGGTCCGTGGTGCAGAGGATCTCATGGAACCAGGAAGAGCAGCACTAGGGACCATCCCTGTGGGCTGCAGGAGAAGGGAGATGCTTGGCCCGTGAGTCAGGAGAGCTGCATTTCCAAACCCGGCCCACGTCATCCTTCCCAGGCAGGCAGAGCTGCGGGAGCTGGCTTCCAAACCTGGGGAAGGAGCTCCTGGGATGGGCAGGGCCCGGGTGTCCGTGCTGCAAGCGGGAGCTGAAGGGCCTGGGGAGGAAAGCCCGTGAAAGAGCGGGCACAGAAAATTGTGATGGATGCAATTCCCGTTCCTGAGTTTTCTCACAATCGAACGAAATCTGGTGGCTGAAGAAATAAAATGAGCGCTTCGGATGTGTATTTTCTAATGAGTGTGAATGAAGAGCATGGCACAGTGTGGTTAAATCAATGAATTGCCTTCAAAAGGTGAACTGAGCTCTTCATTTCCAGCAAGACACATACCTGGGTTGGAGTGCTTAGCGCTTCACGGGCCTCACAGAGGCAAACCAGAAGAGGGGAGAGAAGGGAATTTAGCATTAATAAATGTTACTCTGCAGGTGTCCCACGGAACTCTCAAATGTTAAGCAAGCTTCTCCCTTCCTCTGAATGTACTGGAATTGCTAATAAAGACAAACAGCCTGGAAATGCCTTGAAAAGGTTTCTTTAAGGAGATGTATTATAAAGCAGGTGTTTGACTTTGCTTCAGTCGAAAGTACCTTTAAAACATGGATTTGAGAGAAAACCTGAAAGTGGCAGATTTGTTCCCTCGTGTTTGTAACACTTTTCAACTCTTTTTGTCCCTTCCAGACTGCAGCTGGCAAGTTAAAGCGAACGACCAGCGTTTCTATGATCAGCCGGGCTTCAAGAGAACAATCTTCCTGTGCTTCAAGAAAAGCAAATATGCGGTAAATTGTCTTATCCCAATGAGGTGCTAATTGTCGGATGAATTCTTCCTTAATCCCAGTAAGGTCTTTGGAATGGCTGGCGAGTGGGGTAAATGCCACCGTTCACAATTCCTCAGTGTTTCCAGCAGAGGGGGGGAAGAATAACTGGGTTGGGGTTTTAGAATGGAAAGTCAAGCGTCTATCAAGAGACGTATTTAAGGTGAGATAGAGAATTAGGAACTTAAACCTGTGCGCTGTACATTTGTGTTGGAAAGAGAAGCTCCGCTGTGTGACTGGTGATATTTGGGTTTCTCCCACAGGGAAATGCAATTAAGACGTACAAGTACAACCCCATCACTTTTCTACCTCTGAATCTGTTTGAGCAGTTCAAGAGAGCAGCCAACTTCTATTTTCTTGTTCTTCTCATATTGCAGGTAAGCAAGATGGAGAGTACTCACTGTGAAGGGAATCTGAGCTCAATAATATTTATGACTCAGTTCAGTGCTGTCCTGTTAGGGAATTGAGGGGCACTGCTGCAGAGACCAAACCCATCGTAACAGAAACCTGCAGCAAATCTGGATGAGCTATGGCTGGCTTCTGGGATGAGCTAGCTGCACAGGATTTGAATGAACTCATTGCAGAGCTCATGAATTTCATGAGGAAAAGATGTTTTTTGAGTTCATCCCATAAATCAGAAGCACCACCAGACTATACGAGCCAGTACAATTGTTAAAGGGAAGCTGATTCCCAAGTAATGTAACAGGCAAACTCTTCTTTTGTTCATTTTCACAACCTGACTTAAAATTCTCTCTGATGTGTGGTTTTTTTCTCTAGCCAGGTCACTGTGACATATCTCTGATTTCAATTTGATTGATGATCCCGTACTGACCTGATTTTATTGGTCTTTTGCAGTCGATTCCTCAAATAAGTACCCTGTCATGGTACACAACTCTGGTGCCCTTGCTCTTGGTGCTGGGAATAACTGCAGTCAAAGACCTGGTGGATGACATTGTAAGAACCCTGTTCTGTAAATAGAAAAAGCAAAACCCTCCCGGTGCAGCTCATGTCTCCTGTTGTGACACAGGGCATTGTTTGCTCCGGTTTCAGGCTCGTCACAGGATGGACAACGAGGTCAATAACAGGACATGTGATGTCATCAAGGATGGAAGGTTTGTGCCCTCCAAGCTCTGTAAGGGATGATCGTGTCCCTGTTGCTAAGCTTTGCCACAGATCTGAAGCTGTAGATGATGAGAAAGGCTCAGCTCTGTTCTCTGTCTGAAAACCTAACTGAAACTGGAAAAGAATTGCTTAAAGGAGTCATTTAAAGTTAATTCTCCAGGACTAAATCTGTGCTAAGAGCAACTTCTTTGGAGAGCAGGACAGGAATTCATAACTAGGTGAAGTGGGAAGAGAAGAGGTAGGTTGGCTTCTGAGCTGTAAAATTGCAGTTTCTGAGAGGCAAACCCACAGCACACCAAAAGGTCATTTTTTTCCTAAGGAAAGTTTAGTACTGTAAGCTTTATAGAGTGCATCGTGTTCTAGATTAAAAGGAATAATTATTAAACTATCTTTGGTATTAGGTTCAAAGCCACTAAATGGAAAGATGTTAAAGTTGGTGATGTCGTTCGTCTGAAGAAAAATACTTTTGTTCCTGTAAGTTCCTTTTGTTCCTGCTTCAGATACGTTTGTTTGATGTTTCAAGAGAGCTCTGTAGGAATTTTTACCTGGCTTTGTTTGATGTGTATTTATTTGTTTCCTAGGCTGATATTTTGCTGCTGTCCAGCTCAGAACCAAACAGTCTGTGCTATGTGGAGACAGCTGAACTGGATGGGTAAGGTTCTACTTAAGGATGTCTTGGAGTTAATTTGGGCTGAGTAGGAAAAGAGCAAGGATTGTGTATGTTAGAGTCTACTTGTTTAGCCACACCTGGGGAACTGTATCCAGCTGCAGAATCATTAAAACTTGTCCACTGGAGTGCTACAGGCACATCAAAAGTGTTGGAGAATGTGACATAGGAAGAAAGGGGGAAGGACATGAATTTATTTTTTACTTTAGTATAGGTTGCCCAGAGAAGTGGTGGTACCTTAATTTAATTGTGTTTAAACTTCTCTCCTCTATCCACGGTTTTAATACAATCACCTTTTTATTTTTTCTTCTTAGTGAGACTAACTTAAAATTCAAAATGGCCCTAGAGGTGACACACAGACACCTTCAGGAAGAAAGTGCCCTGGCAGACTTTGATGGTTGGTACAGTTCTACACCTAATGATGTTAGAACCTAGCCCAAATCGTTTGCAAATTAATAAAAGTAAAGCAAAGCTACTTTGATATTGATGGTGGGTACAAGTCAATGCATTTGGATTTAACTTGTACATTAAACACATTCTCTCCACATTTCCTAGGTCTGGTTGAATGTGAAGAACCCAATAACCGACTGGATAAGTTTACAGGAACATTATCCTGGAGAAACTCAATTTATCCTCTGGATGCTGATAAGATTTTGTTGCGTGGCTGTAAGATCAGGAACACGGACTTCTGCCATGGAATGGTCATATTTGCAGGTGTGTAATACACTAAAAGCACACCTGCAGAGTGAAAAAGAATCTTCATCCTATAGATACCAACTGTATTTCATGTCCCAGTTTGGTAAAACTGTAATACTGACATGTGTTTGCTTCTCCTATCTTTCCCTTTTTTTAATTTTTCACTCTTTATTTTTAGGTGCTGACACAAAAATAATGAAAAATAGTGGAAAGACAAGATTTAAAAGGACAAAAATTGACTCCCTTATGAACTACATGGTTTATACTGTAAGCCTTTTTTTTTTAAATTAGGATTTTAAGTGAATAGTGAATGTGAAGTTAGGCAGCTTCTTCCTGTGTGTATGTAATAAATATATTTTGACTTTTTTCTGGCCTGCTGAGCTGGGATGGACCAGGAGGAAATCTGAAATGTGCCTTTGTGGGAAATGTTTCCTCCATTTCTCCTCACAAAAAGCTGTCACATTCTGTTAGGAACGTGGGGATTTGGGATTTAAGTGGAGCAGATGTTCCTGACGTGTGAGAGGCCTCTCTGTGCCCTGCAGATCATCGTGGTCCTTATCCTGCTGTCAGCTGGGCTGGCCATCGGTCACACCTACTGGGAGCAGCAGATTGGCAACTCCTCCTGGTACCTGTACGATGCTCAGGACTCCAGCCCTGCCTACCGGGGCTTCCTCACCTTCTGGGGATACATCATTGTCCTCAACACCATGGTGCCCATCTCCCTCTACGTGAGGTAGGGCGGTACCTGAGGAGTTGTCTTTGGGTGGAAACGGGAGCTGCAGCTGGGAGTGAGAACCTTCCTTCTCTTTGATTCAGTGTGGAAGTGATTCGCTTTGGCCAAAGCTATTTCATCAACTGGGACCTGCAGATGTACTACCCCGAGAAGGACACGCCTGCCAAGGCCAGGACCACCACGCTGAACGAGCAGCTGGGCCAGATCCAGTACATCTTCTCTGACAAGACTGGAACCCTCACTCAGAACATCATGACCTTTAAAAAGTGTTGCATAAATGGGCAAAGATACGGTAAGCTGTGCAAAGGAGGAGGAGGAATGTTAATACCTGCTAGAGGTCAGGTACATACAAGTTCTCTTAGTTCCAGCTGAAGTTCCACAATTTAGACCTGGCACTGGGTAAAGCATGGGGTTGAGCTGTTGGGGTTTTCCCACTTACAAAGTGGAAATTAAGTAGCTTTAGTGGGAACATCTCAGCTTTCAGAAAAACTGAAAATCGGTAATTTGCACAATTTTTTGTACAAATTTGCTTTCACAAGAAATGCTCTGGGGACAAATCCAAGAAACAGACAAGGAACGTGTAGTGTGAGCAGCAGTTTGTCCTTTTCCTTTCCCTCCGGTGGCAGTACCTGTGGTGGATATGTTTTGCTTTGTGGTGGGCTGTAAAAGCTCTGCTGTGCCTGGTGCCCTGAGTGCGGGTGCTTGCCTTGCAGGGGACTGCCGGGACGCAGCAGGGCAGCTCCAGAGCCACGCAGAGGTAGGTCCAGCCTGGGTCCATCCTGTTGGTCCCATCCACGGCATGGAGAGATGCGGGTGGGCACAAAGCAACAGCGCCTTGGTGACTCAGCCTCTCTTCCCCTCTTGTCTAAGCAGCAAGTTGATTTCAGCTGGAATGTGTACGCAGATGGAAAGTTCTTATTCTATGATCACCATCTGATAGAGCAAATAAAGGCTGGAAAGGAGCCAGAAATCCAGAAGTTCTTTTTTCTGCTTGCTATTTGTCACACAGTCATGGCTGACACTTCTGATGGTGAGTGTGGCTTTTGCTTAGTTTGTTTTCCTTGTGTAGCAGAAAACAATAATTCAAATTCAGTTCCACGAGGGAGACATCTGCAACTAATGCTGATACCATAAGGAAGGAGTGTTAGGCTGCCCTTTTAAATTAAACAAAACTAAATGTAGAGGTGATCAGCTATTGAATTCATGAATTCATGGGTTGGAAGATTCAATTACAACATGGAATATGAATATTGCTTTACTCCCATCTTTGTGACATCTCCATGAAACCAACAGTGTCCCGTCCTTTCTTGTTCTTAATGTTTTTGGGGTTGTTTCCACTCACTGTATTGGTGTCTCTGGCCAAGGGTTTGTGTTTTGGAGCTTCTTTTGAAAATGTTTAAATGACTGGACTGAGAAATTAGGATGTTGAGGTGGCAAACGTGGAGTTTTGCTTTAGTGAAGGGAAGCAGGCTGAGGACTGCTCCTGTTTGGGCAGTATGGTAACAGACTGGGGCGTTGTGGTCGCTGCTCTCGGTGTGCCCTGCTGGTGGGTGCTGCAGCAGTGTCCAGCTGCACCCTCAGCTGTGTGCTGGCTGCAATCCTGCAGGTCAGCTCCACTACCAGGCAGCCTCCCCGGATGAGGGGGCGCTGGTGACGGCCGCGCGCAACTTCGGGTACGTGTTCCTGTCCCGAACGCAGAACACCATCACCATCAGCGAGATGGGCGTCCAGAGGACCTACGATGTCCTGGCCATCCTGGATTTCAACAGTGACAGGAAGAGGATGTCTGTCATTGGTAAGCTGGCTGCCACCAGCCTGCGTGGGGAAGGTCACTTGTTTAGGGGTGAAAAGGGATGTGCAGAGGAAGCTGGGGTCAAGAATTACCACTTCTGGGGCACGTTTGAGCTCACTGGAGAAGAAACACCATCTTGCACTTTGGTACTTGGCAGTAGGCTGAAAAATCCAATCTGAAATGATTCCTCCATGTAAGGGTGCCACCTCTGCTGTTTCCCTCCGCAGTAAGAGAGTCCGGTGGCAATATCAGGCTGTATTGCAAAGGGGCTGATACGGTGATCTATGAGCGGCTGCACCCCAGGAACGTCAAGAGAGAAGCCACAGAAGAGGCCCTTGATGTATGTTTGTATTTTGTATGCTCTTTTTAAAACAAAAATTGTTTCTTTCTGACAGTAGTGTTATTAATTTCCTTTTCCTAAGCTATTAAGACAAATGGAAACCTGCAATTGGTTCTGAAAGTTGGACTTGGTCTGTCAAACTTGTGAAATGCTCATGTTCTTGCCCTCGTGTTTGGATTGCAAATGAAGAGTTTTCTTTTGTGATATATGTGGTTTTAATTATTTTTCAGGTCTTTGCAAATGAAACTCTCAGGACGCTCTGCCTGTGCTACAGAGACATAAGCCAGGATGAATTTGAAGTGTGGAATAAAAAGTTTCTGGAGGCCAGTTTAGCTACAAGTCACCGGGATGAAGCTCTGGACAAAGTGTATGAGGAAATAGAAAAAAACTTGATTGTAAGGAGCTGTACATTTTTAGTACATTTCAATTCTTATATTAAGAGAAACATGTTTCAATGCTACTAACCACCTGTGTTTCCAATGCCTTCCAGCTGCTTGGTGCAACAGCTATTGAAGACAAACTACAGGATGGAGTTCCAGAAACTATCTCCAGGCTCTCCAAGGCAGACATTAAAATCTGGGTGCTTACTGGTGACAAAAAAGGTGGGGGTCACTTACAGCCAAACAGCTAAAAATAGGAGGATGTTTGCCTGTTCATCTACACTGTGGCATTGAAAGGGAATTCTCATACTGAAATGTAAATCAGAAATTACTTAAGATCACTTGAGGTGCTTCTGGCTGCTCCTAACAATTACTTGTGGCAGAACTTTCAGTAAATACTTCCCTGTCTTAATTTTTTTTTGTAGAAACTGCTGAAAATATTGGATTTTCTTGTGAACTCCTAACAGAGGAAACAGCCATCTGCTATGGAGAAGATACCAGGCAAGTAAAAACACAGAGGAGTTAGTAACTTTTCAGGATTTTCAGTCTGGGACTGACCTAGTTTAAAGTTTATCCTTGACTTTTCAGTACAGTTTCCCCCTCTCTTTCCAGTGCTCTCCTTCAAACGAGGCTGGAAAACCAGAGGAACAGGGCTGGATCCAGTCCACATTCCTCTCTCAGAATGAACGAGCCGTTCTTCCAGGGCAGCAGAGACCGGGCTCTGATCATCACTGGTTCCTGGCTGGTATGTACAAAGGCTGTTCTCCCGAGTGTTTGGGGTTTTGGGGCACCACCAGCCTGCAGTGTCTCTCACTGAGGACTCTGTTCCTTTGTCTGCACAAGCAGTTCATTAAAATGCCAGAAATGGATGCTGGGAGCATCATGACCTCAGGTGTGTTGTTAGGCAGTGCCTGGGGTAGGACTGGGAATGGTGCAGAAGAGAATACAGTATGTTTTATTTTTTTCACAGAATGAAATCCTGCTGGAGAAGAAGAAGAAGAAAAAGAAACTTAAACTGAAATTCCCCAGAACGGCAGAAGAGAAGAAAAAACAAGCTGAGAAAAGGAGAAGGGCAGAGGCCTACAAGGAGCAGCAGCAGAAGAACTTTGTTGATCTGGCCTGCGAGTGCCGGGCTGTGATCTGCTGCCGTGTGACACCCAAGCAGAAGGCCATGGTGGTGGAGCTGGTGAAGAAGTACAAGAAGGCCATCACCCTGGCCATCGGGGACGGGGCCAATGATGTGAACATGATCAAAAGTAAGGCAGCTGTCAAGCTCTCCCGCTAGGACAGATCTCCTCTGGCTGCTCCTGCGGTCTCTCCACTGTCCCTCTCTGTCAGAAGACTCTTCCATCTGCTTTGCTGCCGTGGGCCTTTTAGCTTCTGTGCCTGTTTCCCTTTCTGAGGAAGCACTTTAGGAAATGGTTAGTGATTTTTCCTGATCTATTTTTTTTTCTGTAGACATTCCCTGAGCAGGAATCTGTTCTCATGCTGTGTGTTACAGAACTGTAACGTAAAGACCAAAGCAGTAGCTTGGTTGCCCCCTGCCTGGTGGCATTAGCCATCCCAGATTGTACCTGCTCTGCTTCCCAAGAGATGCAAGTGAGGAAAAAATGTCTAGGATAGGGTTTCTGTCCCAAGGGTGTTTGTAAACTGCCTGCCCAGTTTGTTCAGCACTTTACTCACTGTCTCATCGCTTGGTTCTCCTTTGGTCAAATTTCCCAGGTGCATTCTGACAGAACAAGCACCGACAGACAGTCCAGGTGACAGTAGAAATGGCCCTGGTGGTGTTCCTGTCCCTCTGTCCAACCTAGTGTGTGGTGTTTGTGTCCCTCACCCAGCTGCCCACATTGGAGTTGGGATCAGTGGCCAGGAGGGCATGCAGGCTGTCATGTCGAGTGACTACTCCTTCGGACAGTTCCGCTACCTCCAGCGGCTGCTGCTGGTCCACGGGCGCTGGTCCTACATCAGGATGTGCAAGTTCCTGAGATACTTCTTCTACAAAAACTTCGCTTTCACGCTGGTCCACATCTGGTACTCGTTCTTCAATGGCTTCTCTGCCCAGGTAGGAAGGTGTGCTCATGTGGGATAACAACAGGTTAACAAGCAGGTGCTTCTGTCAGTGTGGAACAGCAAAGGCTTAACCTGGCAAGTGTCAGGAAGGTGAAGTTGTCACCAGTGATTTCTGCAAGAGGACATGATGAGTACTGAGCGAGTAAGTTACAAGCAGTTAGGTATGATTCCAGAGCACTGAAGTCAGGATCATTGTTGTACAGGGAGGAACATTTGGAAGGAGTGGGGCAGCTTAACACCGACTAAAGAGCTTCAGCAGAGCCTGAGCCAAGGTGCTGCTGCCTTTGGGTGAACACCAAGAAAGGGAACTTAGAGCTGTAGTAAAGCACATGTGAGTTTTCTCAGGAGCTGGAGGGGAAGGATGTAATCAAATGAAATCACCAAGACCTGCAATTGCCCCTGTGTTGCAGACAGCTTACGAGGACTGGTTCATCACACTGTACAACGTGCTGTATTCCAGCCTCCCGGTCCTGCTCGTCGGCTTGCTCGACCAGGTATCCCCATGTTGCTACAACAATGAATCCAAAGGCACCTGTCACCAGATCTAAGTTACACTGATTGTCCATGAAACGAGGTTTGGTTTTGTGGCTTTTAAGAACGCCTTCCTTTTGCATTACTCTGTGCAAATCCCTGCTATTGGAAAGAGAAAGGATCTGCCATTCCCTTTGGGACACTGTATAGTTCAGCTTCTCACTCTCCAAACCTCAGGTTGAGAACAACCCCAATTCACAACTTTCTTTTTTCTTTTTCCTCTTTATTAAGGATGTGAGCGACAAACTGAGCCTTCGGTTCCCCAGACTTTATATTTTGGGTCAGAGAGATTTACTTTTCAACTACAAGAAGTTCTTTATAAGTTTGCTCCATGGAGCTGTAACTTCACTGATCATCTTCTTCATCCCGTACGGAGCCTACCTTATATCCATGGGACAAGACGGAGAAGCCCCTGCAGATTATCAGTCCTTTGCTGTCACAGCAGCATCCTCTCTGATATTTGTGGTCAATTTTCAGGCAAGTAAGCTTAGTTTTCCCTGAGTTCTGGTGTTCTGAGAATGCTTTCTACTCACTGTTCTAAATTTCTCTACTAGAAAGGTAACAACATGTAAGAAGTAATTGACATTATTTGGAATTAAGAAACTCATTTGGCACTTTTGTTTGCCTTTAGATTGGCCTGGATACATCATACTGGACTTTTGTTAATGCTTTTTCAGTATTTGGGAGTATTGCAATTTACTTTGGGATCACGTTTGACTTTCACAGTGCCGGAATCCATGTTCTCTTCCCTTCTGGCTTTCAGTTCACAGGTCAGTCCTGGTGCTTTGTGGTTCTCAGTCCTGTCTGATGTAGTGTTGTCATAAATTAACTTTTGCTCCTTTTATTCCCAGGAACTGCTCCGAATGCTCTGCGGCAGCCATACCTTTGGCTTACCATGATTTTAACCATTGCCATTTGCTTACTGCCCGTAGTGGCACAGCGCTTTCTATCCATGACAATCTGGCCTTCAGAGAGCGATAAAGTGAGTGGAGTCTGGTATTTGGGTGAATGTGGCAGGTGTTTATTTACAGGGGCTGGTGTCAGTGCTAAGGTGTGGGCTCGTGGAAGAGCCCATGGCAAGGGGTAGGACGAGATGGGCATTAAGGTCCCTTCCAACCCAAGCCATTTTGGGATTTTGTGATAATGTTAGAGACAAGTGAGTGATGGTGCCCTTCAGAGAGTGACACAAGCCTGGCTTGGGTCCCGTGAGCAGAGTGGCTGCAGGGCTGGCCAGAGGCAGCAGCTCAGTGGGGGCTGTTTCCTCGTGTGCCTGGCTGAGATCTGGTGGTGCCCCCGAGACCCCATGAGGCTGCTGAGTGCCCTAGTTTGGGTTTAATTTAGGCTGGGCTGAGTGCCAGGGTTACACGTCAAGAGTGTAGGGGATGGATTTGGCTACCTGCTCTGCCTTGAGCCAGCACACAGCTATGAGAACAGATAGCTGTGGTGATGCTGCCTAACGCACGCCCCGCGGTGTGTTTGCGTGCGCGCAGATCCAGAGGAACCGTCGGAAGTACCTGCTGGAGGAGCAGCAGTGGAAGCGCCGGCAGAGCGCGTTCCGCCGCGGCGTGTCCGCCCGCCGCTCCGCCTACGCCTTCTCGCACCAGCGCGGCTACGCCGACCTGATCGCCTCGGGGCGCAGCATCCGCAAGCGGCGCGCCCCGCTGGACGCCGTGCTGGCCGGGCCGGGCTCCGGGGACACGCGCGACACCAGCTGAGGCGCTGCCCGCCTGCTGGCCGGGGCTGCTTGTCACAGCGACTGCACAGAACTGTTCCGGGCAAACTCAGCGTCTCGTTCAACCACCTGGCATAAGGATGTGAAGATTTTTATGTCTTATCACAGAAGTTTCTGGGTTTGGACTCCTGGGAGCACAGAGAGGCCAAGAGTTCTCCGTGGAACTACTGATCCTTGTGTGAGTGCTCTGTATGACAGTGAAGGATACACGTGCTGGGAATGGAAACCCAGCAGTGTCTGTTTTTAGTGATGCCTGGAATTGCAGACTTTTCACTTTTGAATACTATGCTGGTATAAAACTGTATCTACATTTCATCCTTGTCATTGGAAGCGATTTCGTTGTGTGCTCCATTTCATTAACTGCCCAGACATGATGGCACGTGGGGTGCTCGGCCCTGGAGAGGGCCCTGGATGCTCCCATCGGAACTGTCACAGCTGAGCTGGGATGTCTTTGGTGATAAACTCCTGCCCGTGTCACATTGGATTAGGAATCAGATAGGTCTCAGCTCAGGAAGCTGCCCCTGGAGCTGGCACAAGCGATTCATTTCAGTTCTGGAGAGTCAGTGATGGATAACTAGAAATCACTCACTTTCATTGGAACGTATTTCAGTTGCTGGTGCCTCAGTTCTTACAGTGTAAAAAGCGGTTTTATCAGTCTCTTTACATTTGCACATTCTTTACTGGAGTTGAGGTGTTTGAATGTTTCACTTTTATCTACTTTCCCCTCCCGAACTAAAAGCTAATTATTGAAATGGTTTTATAGTAACAATTATGACCTACAGCTCTCATTCAATGGAATGTACATTTCAAAAGTGTAATGCAAATAAATACGCGATAGTGCACTTCCTTGCAATGGCTCCGGGGGTTAGACCGGGCCGTGCCGACGTGTCAGCACCTGGCGGGGAGGAGGCGCGGCGGCTTTGCCCGCCCGTGTGCGGAAGGAAGGAGCGGAAGGGCAGGGCCGGCTGACGCAAGGCGGCGGCGCGTTGGCTCAGCCCGCCCGTGATGCAGTTCCTGCGCCGCGGCCATGGCGGGGGACGTGCTGGGCAGGACGGCGGCGCTGGCCCTCGGTGAGAGCCCGGGGCCCGGCCCCGCACCCGGCCCCCATCCCCATCCCTCGCAGCCCCGCCCGGGCCGTGTCCCGGCGGGCCGGGCCCGCGGCGCGGCACTGGGAGGGCACCGGGAGCGGCCGTGGCGCCGCGCTGGGCCGGGCCGTCCCCGGGCACGGGAGGGGTCGCTGCGCTTCTCGTTCGGGTCCCGGCTGGTCCCCAGGCCCCGTCTCCTGCTTACCTGCTCAAAGCTGTGCCCGGGAAGGAAGGGCTGCTCCTTCCGGGTCCCCATGTGCAGCTAGTGGCTCCCGAGGGTTCGGTACCTCGGGAACCCTTGAGATTTTAGCGAACGCACTGCATGGATTGGTTTTTTTAATGAAATATAGGATATAATTCTTATCTTGACTGACCGGGTGGTGCATTTGAAGGTTTATCACTGCTGGTAACCAGCAAGATTTGGTATAATAGAAAGGGTTGGGTTGGAAGAGGCCTTTAACGATCACTTCTTCCAGCCCCATGCAGTGAGTAGGGACACATCTGTGTGTGTCCATTTTCTTTCTCATAATCTTTTGAGTAATTGCCCGTATTTGTCACGTATCCCAGAAGAGCTGTATGTGTCTGAACGAGAGGGCAACGACTCCACTGGTGATGGAACGCAAAAGAAACCATTCAAGACCGTGTTGAAGGTGAGTCTGGAGAACACAGGCTTTGTGTGGAGTGTGTTCTGGGGCAAGTGATGGCCCTTGTGTTTTTAAATCTGAGTTTCATACCTGGTTTTGCAACCTGAGCAGGAGCAAGGTGCCTGCTCAGGCTCTGTGAGGATGATTTTGGTTCATTTTGGTTATTTTTTCCCCTTTTTTAGGCATTGATGACAGCAGGAAAAGAGCCATTTCCTACAATTTATGTGGATTCCCAAAAAGAAAATGAGGTGCTGTGGCATTGAAGGGTTTCCTAGTGGGAATTATTCTCTGCATCTTGGTGTGAAGGGACACATTATAATCTGCTATCTCTTGCTCTCTCCTTGAATTCTTTAGAGATGGGCCATCATTTCCAAATCACAGATGAAGAATGTCAAAAAACTATGGCACAGGGAGCAGATGAAAAATGAAGCTAAGGAGAAGAAGGAGGTAGGTTTCAAAAAGAGCAGAGCACCATTGCTTTCCAAAAACATTACAGTGTCATCATCATTCCTGCCCCTCTGAAAAAGCTGCAGGTGGTTCCTCACTGGTGTCAGTGTTGCACGTGTTATTTACAACTGGCCTGGTTACAGCTATTTAATAAGTAATTTTATTCCAACCAGGCAGAAGATCTCTTGAGAAGAGAGAAGAACCTGGAGGAAGCCAAGAAGGTTGTTATCAAGAATGATCCCAGTCTCCCAGAGCCCAAGTGTGTGAGTATGGTCCCGTGCCTTGGCATCTGGTCAGCACAGAGATTGTGCTGCTCTGGGCTGGGGTCTGGATGAACCATTCCCCTATTTAATGGCTTTTATTCCCTGCCTCACAGGTGAAGATCAATGCTCTGGAGGCTTACAGAGGGCAGAGAGTGAAGATTTTTGGCTGGATCCACAGGTTACGGAGGCAAGGTAAAGCACAAGCATGGTTGAGCTCGTGCAGGGAGATAGAACAAGGATGGTCGCCTTCAAAATTTGGAAACAGAATGAGTGTGACAGCACCTGGTCTCAAATTTTAAACCAGTCAGGTGCCTTCTTTGGTTGATCTCAATGATCACTGCAACACTGACAGTTCCCCCTAATGTGTGGATGTACACACATTTCTTAGTTCAAATCCTATGGGATTTTCAGTTTGGAGGCTAGTCCTGCAGAATTTCCTTAACTTCTGTGTTTTAAACTAGTCCTGCCAAATGAGGAACTAACCAGCAACTGCTCATAGTGAAACCAAATTCCTTCTCTTTTTAACTAGGAAAAAATCTGATGTTTATTGTCTTGAGAGATGGCACAGGGTTTCTTCAGTGTGTCCTTTCTGATGAACTGGTAAGTGGTGATGACTGTGTTCTGTTGTGAATTTAAGAGTTCATACCTCATCTGGTGTTCTCCTCAACCTACTGACTCAGTTGTGTTACTGCTAAATTGTATGTCCTGCCACTGCAGTTTGTCAGTGTGAGAGCTGTTTGGAAGTGACTGTGTGCTAATGTGTGACTCCAGTGGACGCTGTAGGAAAGTGAGGAATAAAATCTTGCTCACCTGTGCCTCTGTCTGTCTCGCTGCAGTGCCAGTGCTACAATGGGCTGGTGCTGTCCACGGAGAGCAGCGTGGTGGTGTATGGCATGCTGAACCTCCTGCCCCAGGGCAAGCAGGTACGGGAGCTCCTCGGCCTTCTCCTCCTCCCTCACGGGTCCCTGGTGTCCTGAGGGAGGCACAGGCAGAGGTGGGAGGAATCATTGCGTTATTTCAGAGGGAATTAGGGCTAGAGAAAGAACAAAGCTCCCAAAGCTGTGCTGTCTAGTGTGAGACAGATGAACTGTGGGACTGTTCTGTTTCTGCCTGAAATGATTTTCCACTGATAGACAACTCCTAGACTATAACATGGAGAGCTATGTTAAATAAGTGGCATGATTTCACTTTCCTTAACAGGTTTATTCAGTTTTTATTTTGTGAGGCTAGGAATTTTTTCACATCTCTTTTACTGGGGTGTGTTTGTAGGCTCAACCCAAGGTTAGGTAATGTGAGCCCCCACTATCACATTTTGGTAAAAATCTATGGGTTAGCCTTTGAAAATCTGCATTTCTACCCTGAAAATTGCAGTGAATAAACTGGTTTCAGTTGAACTTGGAGGTGGAACTGCAAATGCCGCTTGTCGGGGTGGAAGGCGGCTGTGAGCACACGGGGGCGCCACTGAGAGCAGAGCTCAGTCTCACTGTTTGGGTGCCGGGACCTTATGGCCCGTGCAGTGCCACCCCTGCCATGGCAGGGACACCTCCCACCATCCCAGGTTGTTCCAAGCCACATCCAGCCTGGCCTTGGACACTGCCGGGGGCCAGGCAGCCACAGCTGCTCGGGGCACCCTGTGCCAGGACCTCACCACCCTCACAGGGAAGAATTCCTGGTATCCCATCTACCCTGCCCTCAGTCCATCGGAAACCATTCCCCCTTGTCCCATCGCTCCAAGCCCTTGTGAGAAGACGTCCAAGGGGCGAGCAGGGGACTTTTTGCCCAGTGTTGGTTTCTGTCCCATTGGCAGGCTCCAGGAGGCCACGAGCTGAGCTGTGATTACTGGGAGCTCATCGGCCTGGCCCCGGCAGGAGGGGCTGACAACCTGCTCAACGAGGACTCAGAGGTGGACGTGCAGCTCAACAACAGGCACATGATGATTCGAGGTGAGAACATGTCCAAAATCTTCAAGGTGCGCTCCATTGTCGTGCAGGCCTTCAGGGATCACTTCTTTGCCAACGGATACTATGAGGTAAGTGTGTGTTCCCTGGTCAGCAAGTGACCGCTCTGGTGCCCTGACTCACCATGTGCTCAGTTCTTCACTCAAGCAGTGACAGCCCTGTTCTCCCGCAGGTCACACCACCTACCTTAGTGCAGACACAGGTGGAGGGAGGCTCCACCCTGTTCAAGCTGGATTACTTTGGTGAAGAGGCGTACCTGACCCAGTCATCCCAGCTCTACCTGGAGACCTGCCTGCCAGCTCTGGGAGATGTCTTCTGTATTGCTCAGTCCTACAGAGCTGAGCAGTCCAGGACCCGCAGGCACTTGGCAGAGTATGGACAGTTGTCCTTGGTTCTTTTTAAACAGCTTGATTTCCTTTATGGTGTGGGAGTAAAAGAGGTTTGGGTTGTGGGTTTTTTAGATGAGTTTGTTTCATAGCTGAAGATGTGTTGCTTGTACGCGACTTTGCAGTGGTGTGGCTTTGTTCCAGGTACACTCACATCGAAGCTGAATGTCCTTTTATAAGTTTTGAGGATTTGTTGGACC